ATTAAAGATACATGAAAAATGTACTTAAGTAAAGTAACAAAGTATTTGTACTTCGTTACATTCCACCACTGTCAAAGTCGTATCAGTATTTGCCAAGATAAGGGGTATAAGATACTATATTTTTTTAATTTAAGTGGTGGCTTTGTATATCCCAATCCCATTATCCCTTAAATCATTTCCTGTCTGTCTCTTTTAATTTTAAAATGGAGCTTGAACACCTTGACCCCCTGGAATACCCTTCATTACTGAATTGCATCTATGACCGGATTACTTCAAGACAGGTCACTATAATGTGGGTTGTGCGTATGTAGTGACGTATAAGCACTCCAGCACCAGCTAACTGGCACAAATAACCAGGTCTCATTAATAGATGTGGGACTTCTCAAGCTAAATAAATGCACAGTGAACTGACACTTTTGGCCAAGCTTTATTTATAGGCTAGGAGAAAGAGTCACTTCCACTGGATGACCCTTTAATGGACCCTACATTGGTTAGGCCAATCACAGGAGTTGGATCTTATAGGACTGGAGCGGTAGAAGGAGAGATATCCGGCAGAAACAGGGAACCTGTATGTAGGGCACTCCTACACACTAAAAATCTGCATTGGCACATGAAAGAGAAACGATTGCGCCTGCTTTTCTCCTTCAGGCAGTGTGGCAAAGCATAGGAGCTGTAAAGGAACACACAATGAAGCTGGCAGAGACTACATATAAGTAATCTGGCTCATTTAGGGCCTGTTAACTAGCATGTGATAGAGAATTTTAAAAAAAGAAGCTGTAACATGCGCAAAGACACAATGAGGAGATTAGAATGGGTTTCCTTTCATTTGTGTTCTTAACAAGAACTGTACGAAGCTTCAACCCACTCAAAGACTGAATCATCTAGCCTGAAACACTCACCAAGAATATTCCAGCATCTTTCATCATGCTTTTTCATCCGGAAAAGCTAAACAGTAAAGATTTCCTCCGCTGGCCTAGTCAGACGAGTTCGAATTTCCACTTGCCCAACCAACATTTATAAAATAATAAATAAATAAAAAATTGTAGGCTATACTGTATGTGATAAAAATCTGTGTTTGTGTTATTTAATTTTAAGAACCAAACTATTTGTTAGGTTTCTACTATTCTAACAAAAATGTCATATTGTGCAAAATGATTTGTATATTTCTATAACACATTCTTGGGCCGTTGAATGCTTGATTCTGATTGGTTAAGAACGTTCTAAAGGAGTGCAAGTATTTTCAGGGAAAAAGTAGTTTCAGGCAGGTTTGACCGCATTACAGTTACATATCACTGCGCTTAGTTAACTGTAATAACGGAAAATAGGATACAATTCATAACAAGAAAAATCTGATCTGCTTGATCTGCAATTTTCGATGTCTAACTTCAAAATCAATGGACTCGTAAAGTTTAATTTTAATAAATAAAATATGTAGTCCTCTCTATAATAGGCTAAATAGAAAATTAAACTGTATAGGCTATATAAATAAATGAATAGTCCTGCTGCACGGATTTTCGTAATTATTCCAGATAATATAACAAATAAATAATTAATGATAGGCCTACTTGTTAAAAGGGCTTTGTGTGTTTCATTTATTGGGTTATCTACTGTCAATTATAGAAAACAAGAATGAACAAATAAATTAAAACAAATTTAATTAATAAATAAATAATATTATTGACCACATGCTTTTCTGTCTCATTATTTCAACATCTCTCTCTCTCTCTCTCTAATAACTGCATTAATAACTACATAAAGCCGGGACACACTTATGCCTACTAAGGCCAGTTATGAATGTAATTTGATACTTATGACTGATCATGCCCAAACGCTTGTTCATCGCGTTCAGTCTGTGTTCACAGTAGGTGTTTAATAAGACCAGCTACAGTCGATGGAAACAGTCGGTCTTCCAATATTTCAGCGAGTCGTAAGTGCCCCTCATCATTAGTCTGCTATCAGTGGCTCAAACCTCCGTTACTAACTCTAAAATGAAGTTTTGGAATTAGCAACGGAACGGATGCATATGGAATTAGATGCGTAAGAAATTAGTCCTACACACAAGAGCGTTTTAATGACAAAAACTCGACAAACGTCTTGATATGCATTATCTGAACAATGTTTTGAGGTGTGGTAACTGTAGTATAATAATTGACTTCAGGCCGTTGAATTATCTGAAAAATAATGCACAAATAATGCATTACTTTTCTAATAATTCAACGGCCTGTCGTCAATTATTGCTTACATACACGTTAGACAGTTGCTATCGTTTAAACACAACGACTCAAAATTGTTCACACCTATTTTTTTATGATGTGACCGAATGGTGGTACCAACAATGGATGGAAACAATCTAAGTCGAAGAGGCTGACTACAAGGAGGAAGAGGAAGAGCCGGTGTGGAGAATATTGTCAAAGGCTGGATCTGCTTTAGCATTTTTCCCTTTGCCTGCAGAGATGACATTGTCTGTGATGTGGAGAAACTCATCAGTCTGAACCCAACATGAAGACATGATGCTGAAGCAGAATAAAGTCTCTCTCACTGACCTTGATTTTGCAGTTGCACAACTCTTCTGAGTGTATTTTACTGTAAAATGCTTTTCATTTAGAGTTTTTTTTACTGTAACCTTTTTGGCTTTTGCAGTTGGGTCACTGTATTTTCACAGTATGCAACATTCGATAGGCCTACTATTCAATTCAGTATAATGCCATACTTGCAGTAGATAAAGTATACAATTTATTCACCTTGTCATTGCTACCGGTATATTTTTTTACGTAATTTATTTACTTTGTTACAATATACTTTTTTTCCTGTTAACTGCATGCTTTGGATTCTGTGTTCTCCATTTTTTGATGTAGTGTCTAATGAATGATCTGTAGTGTTTATAATTTTGACTCGCTGTGTGTATAATCTGCGAGCATTGTTTGATTTTGAGCACAGGTAAAATAAAATAAAATTCTGTGAATGTGGTTTGAAAATTTGGTTTTGTGTTTAAGGTTTAGAGAAAGTGAGTGATGGTTTCAAGAATTGCCTTTTAGCAATTCAGAAAAACTATCAGCAGAATTAGCATTAGTAAAATCAAATGCAGTACAGTGGCTCTCAACCTTTTTGATTTGAAGACCCCCTATTGTCCAACACAACATTCAAAGGTCCCCACATTTTTTTATTCCATAATTATCATCCATGTCATTTCAAGAACTATATGCTGAATAAAACGAAAAGTTACTTAGGTAATAGTTACTTACGAAAAGTTACTTATAAAAAAAGAAACAAAAAAAGAAAAAAAGACTGCTTTCATTTAACTTCTTGATAATCTAGTGGGCCCCGGCCCCCTGGTTGAAAACCACACAAAACTTTTAACTTGTATATGAAAACTTAAGATGCAAAAACCTATAAATCCACCTAACATTTCGTTTTAAATGAGCATTTTTGTCAGGCTCCTGTGTCTAGGTTCAGTAATTTCAAGGTCACAGGACACTGCCAAACACTCATTGGAATGGAGTGCTGATTTATGGGACGTGAAAGGAGTCAGACAAACGCCAGCTGCTTCAACTATCCTTGAGCCATGACTGGGTCAACAGAGGTTGCGATGGCGGTATGACAAGTATGACGTACGTAACGGTTTGGTTTCGGTTACAGCCACCTTGCAACATCATGTCACTCTGCCGTGCCAAGTTGAAATAAGAACAAGCAGATACGTCTGCGCAGTGGCAGCATCGCTGTTTCAATTACAGTGGGTTAGAATCACTGTCACTTGCTTAATCTGCTTAATTAATAGCACATCTGTTGCTAGGCATTCAGACATCTCAAATAAAACATGGTTTGTATCCAAACTGTGTCATGCATTTGTGATATGCGACTGCAAGCTTTCGGAAATAGATCTGATAGTTCCCTTCAGTCTCAAATGCAGACAAGTGTCCCCCATTCCCCCCCTTTCTTATAACAACTTTTTGCAATTCCGATTTCACTTTAATGTGGACTTTTGCAGAGCTGTGTCACAAATTGTAACCAGCTGTTAGATTTCCTCAGGTAAGTGTGAGTAAACACTGTACTGACTTCAAATGGATCATGAGTTGGGAGCCAAAGATGAACATTACGAGCAGCCAAGAAAGAGATGGCAAGAAGTGTCAGCAAAACACTAAGATGTTTTCTATAATTAAAAACATTATCCATGCTTGAATCATTTGAAAGTATCATAAATCTAATTAAATTCATTAAAATAATGGAAAAAAAAAACATACAAAATGACAGAATAGAGCAAAATATAACTGTTTCACAAGTTCGTTTGGCCAAAAACCCGTAATAAAGGTTAGTCTGGTAGCAAGATCACTAAATTATGTTGGTGGGGTTGGGGAGGTGGAGAGATGCCAAAACAGCTGATGCCAGAGCAAGGTGAGAGGCAGTTTATATGCTCCGGCAGTTAACTAAAAGATTAGATGGGTTTAATACTCCAAAAATTCTTCACTAAGACAAATGATGAACTAATCAGTGGTTTAAAAACAAATGACTGGTTAGCAATGTTCCCACTAAGCTCAGCTGCATGAATACAACAGCCCTGAACTTTTGATGTTGCTCCAATGCAGGCTGTGTTTGAGAAAAGTTATAAATCGTTCTGCATATCCATTGATTTTCCTTATAGTAATGAATCTGTGAGAAAACTAGACAAAATGCAGCGCTGCTTAATTTACGAGATAAGGACAGTAAAGAGGGATAATGACTAATTGATCTTGACAAAACAGGTTCTTGAGTTTCTAATTATTGCATGGCCTTTGAATAACTTTGCCTAAAGTGTTATAGTTGAGTCCATAAGTTTGCATACCCCTTGCAGTATATTTAGAAATAAAGAAATAAAATATCAAGAAATGTGGCTGGTTAGATAGTTAATGAGAACTAAATGCAAAAAGTGTCTAGTTACTAGGTCATTTTCTGGGTCTTGTCTTGGGAAAATGCTACCATATTGGATACGTGTAACATGAGCTGAGTGTGTGCAGTGGGTCACGTACTGTACTGCAGATCTCAAGGAGGTGTTGCAAGCAGTAGATCCCACAAACACTAACCCATTCACCTTGCTTTCATCATGTCCTTCAGTCTTCACAATCTATAATTAAAAAAGAAGTAAGCTCATGAAGATAATACACTTCATCTGACAAGCTACCACGTCATGTTTTCCACAATGTTAGCAGCAACACAAACCTTTGAGGATTTCATAGCCAGCACAAGTCCTTACTTGCTACAGTCTATCTACAGGTTTGGTTCCTTTTTAGTGAGAGTGAATGTGCACAGTTTTTAAAAATCATAGGTTGATCTATACTGAAGAGATTGTAATGAGACTTTACTCATTATCCATCTCTGTTGAATAAATTTGGATTCTCATAATGTTTGTCATAATACTGCCATCATCCTTTTAGGCCCCAAGGTTCAAATGGAAAGTGATCCCTGTATTTGTCTTAATTTTAAAAGAAGAGCAATAATAGACAATATAAAATTGGCAGGATTGAATCTATGCGTTTAAAGTGTAAAATATAATTTTATGTTATCAGTAATGCAGCTGCTGTACATCACTTAGTTACGACAAACCACCGTAAATAACAGTAGATTGCATTGGTAAATTGCCCCCCCAACAAAAAAAAAATGAAAACTTTGAAAATACAGGTTAAACTACTTACCGTAACTTTCTTGAAAAAGTGGTCCTAGGTGATCCTAGGATAGAAGAAAACATGTTGTGGCTGCCATGAGGTAAACCTGCATGTAAATAGTAAATAGAGAATAAACCGGCTGATCCAGCTCGACTGCACAGATTCCACTCTTTACTGCTGTTGTATCACCTATAGACAAAAACACAGTTGTTAATCCTCCTTTAAAAGCTGATGTACAAAACTTATTTAATATATGTTTTGTACACTAGCACAAAGTGTGCAGAAGATGTAGTCAGAACTACAAATGTTCTATAGCTAACCATATATCTACAAATATCCCAAACAACTTCCCCAACTAACCTTACCTTACATCTCAAATCCATCTTTACCTCTATTCACTGTCAAACAAACCCATTCAATAAAGTTCGAAAAGCACAACAAATCTTCACATAGTTTGTTTTAACTTCACTTGGTTTATGCTTAAAAAATACATTTAAAAAATCCCACGGAGAATGAAAATTTTAATTAATTCCAAAGAAATGTAATTGGAAAAACTGACGATGCAGTGTAACTTTATTTCGTACTGAAAGTGAATTCACATGATTTGATTGACCTTACGTTGTAAAAACAACGTCACAACTAATACATGAAACCACATCCTCCACCCATAATTCGAAATAAAATCACACCAGTAAATTAATCAACATTAGCTTACCACATATCCTCGGATTCCTGCTTCGCGCACTGTCTTAAAAACAGCCGCCTGTGTGTTTGGACCTGCCCTTCACAACATAAACAAACTCTCCCATTACAAACATTAACAGAAAAAACACTCCAGCTTTCTTCGAGGGGCAGATGTGACACCACAATTTGATGCAAAATATAAAGAATCTGGGTAATATCGGAGAGTTAATTCAAAACTAAGAGATGACTAGCATAGTAAACTGTTACCACGTGATTAAGACGATGACCGATAACTGATCATGTATTTAAGTTAATAAAATAGTTTCACTGCACTCTATTTTATTTATTTTTTCGCAAGTTTTTACCAACAGTATGTTTGACAGTATGAGTGAAACATGTGAACAAAACACTGTGGGGGAAAACAAATGTACCGAATTTTCATTTTAAGCTACACTTTGTCACTCCATACAAACGCTATCAGTTAAATCAGTGAGCAACACAAATTAGATTTTTTTTATTTAAAATAATTATTTAAAATAGAATAATTTAAAATAGGCTATTTACATAAAATAATGTGATTCGCCTATTTGTTACATTACATTGTTAAATAGCCTATTACATTGTATAGTATTTTTAACTGTTGTAAGGTCATTGTATTTTACTTTTTAAACATTGTAATTGTTAATGTATTATGTCTTGTATGTTTATTGTATTTATTTTTGTTTTGTATTTTATGTGGAACCTTTACTGTGGCCTTCTTGGCCAGGGCTCCTTCGCAAAAGAGACTTGTACTCAAAGGAATTCCCTGGTTAAATAAAATAAAATAAATAAATAAAATATGAGATGTGGTGGAATTGTTCATGACTACACACATGTATGCAATTACATTTGTTGAAAAAAATAATAATAATAATAAAAAAATCAACCCCTAAACCTGAGGAAACACCCACACACAAAACAAATAGCCTACAAAATATTTCTGGGTACTCTGAAGCTTATTTATTTTGAGATACAGCTAATTGTCTTTAAATAAGAGGTTGGTCTACATTTGTTTTCACACTCCTTGCTGTGGGTCATGTTCTCTACAGAACACACAGATCATTAAATCCACATTACATAACCACAGCAATCCCGGATTTGATTGAAAATCTATAAGACAGTCACTATAAAATGGTATCGTGTG